AGATACCCTAGACTAAAGAACTGAAGAGAGAAGGAAAACAGAATCAGAGTGATGGTGATATAGAAAAGCCGAGTGAGAGAGAGAAGGAAAACAGAATCAGAGTGATGGAGATATAGAAAAGCCGAGTGAGAGAGAGAGAGAGAGAGAAATAAAGCAAGAGACAGAGATATATATAGATAGACAAATATATAGAAAGAGATAGGCAGAGAATGAGATTAGAAATTAGATTTATTATTAGTGTAAGAGATCAAATACATATGCCTTATAGAAACAGATAGATGGAGCGAAAGAGACGTATAGAGATTGACTGAGAATGATACCGTAAAAGAGGGAAGGCACTTGAGAGATAAGGATATCTATAATAAATATTCGTTATAGAATCAAAAATCCATATTTTCTTATACAGCAAACAATATATTTGGTAAAAAATTGTAAAAATTCATATTAATTCACTTAAAGTCTTCTGCTTCTTCTTCTCAGTAGCTCAACTTCCAACCAATATACCCTGCTGCACACGTGTACAGGGTATTCAAAGGCATGTGCTCGCACTTTACTGCAGCTGCTGCCGTCTGCTGCTCGTTGACAATGACAGACGCATTGTGGCCAATGGCAGCGAATTCGTACAGGATAGTTTTGATTTCTATGGCAAATCAGAGCAACGCCTATAGCCACACAAGCAACACAGTCGACTAGCAACAGACACGCAACACATGCCAGTTTGTGGTATGCAGCGAGCGAAGAGTGAAAAGATTTGCAACTTAAGGCGAATTAGTGCAAGCGCAGCTTTAATTGGCATCAAGTTATAGATGTCTATGTGTGTGCGTGTGTGTGTGTGTGTGTGTGTAGACGACATTTTGCTTCCTGTTTGCCAGAAATCAATAACATCAACAGCAACAACAACAACAACAACAACAAACGAGAAACCAGTCAATAAAAAGAATTCTCAGTAACAACAAAAAAGCAAAAAAAAAAACAAAAACAAAACAAAAGCGAAATGAAATGGAAATTTGGGTCAACAGCTCGAATGGAGGTAAGAAAAAAGTTTATTGAAATTAAATTTATTTTATGCATGCATTAATTGTTTAAAAAGCAAGTGCTATATATTTATGTATGCAAATGCATATTTATGCATAAGCGAGGGTTGCTCAACAAGTAGCGAGAATTGTGCATTGCGTTGGCTGAAGTATAAACTACTTTTGATATTCTTTGTGTGATATTATATGGGTACACAGCGATGCTTCGACTTTTGTTATAGCTCTACTATTATTGAGCTTCCATTTTCAAGTATGGCAAAGAATGCATCAAAAAATCTCAAAACATGGACTAAAAGCCCAGACCTAACCTACTGTAACTCCTTCTGCCCGCAACAGAAGAAGAACAGTATGAAAGCGCATGCTATATGACGCTTGAGTAGATAAAAAAGTCTTCGCAGGAGCAACTGTACCACATCATGAAGGATGCTATTTTCAGAGATTGAAATGGATTTTGGATAACATCTGAATAGTAACCAACAACTGAAGCGCACAAAATAGATAGACTCTTGAATACAAAGCACACATTACGCTGTAAGCAGACCTCGCACACACGCGCTTGTGACAGCGAGTTCGTGTCCTAAGTCTTTTGTTTTATGAGCGCCGCTATGTAACAGGCGCTGCATAATCAATTAGAAGTGAGCAACAACAAACAGTTTTTGGGAAAGGCAATGTTGGGCAAAGGAAAGTGCAAGTGATGTCCACTATATAAAATGTATATAAAATATATATATATATTTCTCTTTCGTCAGTTTGTTTGTTGCTGCGTGATGCGCATTTCAAAATCAAAAATCACAAAATTTCAATCAAACTACAAACTGTAGAAAGTCTTTGCATAAGTCTATAAATAAATATATATATAGAGACAAAATATATGTATTTATTTGCATTGACTACCTCTATTACACATTCTTACATAAGTCGCTGGCTTAACGGTTAACTCTAACAAAGTTTGGCTGCTCCTTGACCCAGTTAGAGCCGAGCCCAAAAAACTCACTTTTCTAGATTCGCTGAAATTCTTGTCAACTTTTTTCACTTTGTTTTCGCTTTTCTTATTTATGTCGCACGTTTTTCTTTTATCTGCTTTGGCTTCAGTTTTTGTGCATCCTTAGCTGTTAACCGTTACAAGAAGTTGCACGTTTCTGATTGCTGGCAGCAGAAGCAGCAGCAGAGCTAGCGAACGGGCAGTCAACCGCGCGCGCAAACGTTTCAAATTCAACTAAAGCGGCCAACGGCTGAGCCGAGCGATAAAAGCGCCACGAAAAAATGCACAAGCGGCAGCTCGAAGAGGGGGCGGCCGAGCAGGCGAGACATAGGCAGAAGCTACCCAAAACGATAAACCTGTATGCAAGACATGGACGTGGACGTGGACTTGGTCTTGGTCTTGGTCTTAGTGTTTGGTGCTGCTGTTGGCTTTTTGGCTTTTGGTCTTGGCCGATTGAGTGTGTGCGTTTGATTTCCTCTTTGCCAAAAAGCAGACAGTGCTATGAGCTATGAGCCATGAACTAGGAAGTGCCATGAGTCATAGTCCTCCATCAATTGAGGTCGCGCGCCACAGAGGCAGCAAATTAGTTTCACTAACGTTCATCACAATCGACATGAGTTCTGGGCCTGCTCATTCCAAACTTTCCATGCGTATTGAATGCGACTGTGCGTACAACCAAGAGATGCCAGTTGCGGTTTTCCAATCGACTGCTGTCCATAAGGCGTTTGGCCAGTTGTCCAGGCGCTTGTCTAGTTTTGAACAATTTAGAACTTGCTTTACAAGCAGTTAACCAAGCCGTGTGCGTGAGCCATAACAGGCTGCCGTTTCGTTTTGAAAGTGAGTCCAGAAGTCTACAAAACTGGGTCAAGGTTCTGCATATGGGAAAACGATTAAAATAGTTTTGGCGAAAATGTGAAATGAAAATATTTTAATATTTATATTATGGCCATTTTGCATAAATATTTACTACTTAATTAAGACAATTTTAGACGCGTAAATGGCGCCATCATTAAGTACGTGGTGAAAATTTATTGCGGCTCATGTAAATCGAATAAATCGTTATCAGCGAACCCTTGCGCGTACGTGCCGCTGGCCATAATGAAGCGTTGCACGCTGATTGACATAATTTCACACAGTCAAACGCTTTCCATTTGCTATTGCTTCATTTAAATAAAAGCCGCAAACCCATTTTATTGGCCTTGCGTAATGGTTGGGGCTTCGAATACATTCAAAGTCTACAAATAACATTCAAATGCTAACGCTCAACGTGGCATAGTGCTGCCAGACTGCGTCGAGTGAGTGAGTGCTGTAGAATTGATATGCTGGCTGCCACAATTAATACTATCGCATTGTTATCGATTTTTTATTTAATCAAATTTATGTAACAACAAAACATCAACATTTTTTAGACAATAGTAAATACGTCTTTCAGTATTGCAATATACTCCTCAGCTCCCTTGGCATTGGCTTCTTTATAATATGGCAGCTCACCGAGGCGTGCCAGCCAGGCGGTAATCTTTGGATACTTCTCCGGATCGATGCTCACCATTGCAGGCAAAGAAGATGCTGTAGCGCCACAACAGAAATCGGCAATTGTCACAGTATCGCCAGTCAAATAAGGACTATCACCCAGAAAGTTTTCCAGGTGACCGTAGGCATCGATAATGTTGTCAATCTTCTCCTGGGGCACTGTCGCGACCTTTTTGTAAAAATATGGCACACTTATGTTCCTCAAAGACATGAAGAGAACACTGGCATCAAAATACAAACGCTGCTCCAGCTTAGCTCTCTTCACTAGATCTTTTGGATAGAGATCGTCCGATTGTCCATACTTGTCCACCAGATAACAACAGATAGCATGAGAGTCCCAGAATAAGGTACCGTCGTCATCCAAGAGGGGCACTGTATGCTGTGGATTCTTCTGCAGAAATTCCTCCGTTCTATGCTCTCCTTTTAATAGATCGACTATTTTGTATTCAAAGGGCAGATCGAGCGCACGCAGAGTCAGAAGACAGGCACGCACTGGGGGACTTATGTCCAAGCCGTAGAGTACCAATTTCGACATACTTAAATTCAACTCTGAGCACAGATAAGAGCACAGACAACTATCTGAACCGGGGTGTAGCCGGTAACTGCTTATACATATGTAGCTGTTCGACTTCTAAGGCCTCACATATGCTGAGCGAGCTTTTTATAGAGCTGTTGAGCCGACTAAGCATGATGAGTGAAAAGCTCAGTCTATAAATAGATTGATATAAGCAACGTTGTTGTCGGTGCTCAAATTGCATTTAATTGGAAGCCCAGCAAAAAAAAAAAACGGGTTTAATAAATTTCTGCATTAATATAATCAACTATTAATATCCCTAAACAAACATTTCGTTGATATAATGTCAAAAGACGCTATAGATAAGACGCGTTTAAAGTCTTCACAATCAGCATTCAAATGCTAACGTTTAGTTCGACCCAGTGCTGCCAGACTGCGTCAAATGCGTGAGTGTTGTACAGCCCAGCTGCTGGTTATTAAATCTAAAACTTTCACATTGCTATCGATATTTTATTGAATGCAGTAAATTTATAAATATATGTATGTATGTATGATAATTATAAAGTTTTGTTTAGACAATAGTAAATGCACCCTTAAGCAATGCAATATACTCCTTCGCACCATTTCCATTGGCCTCCTTATAGTATGGTAGCTCACTGAGACGCTCCAGCCAGGCGGTAATCTTGGGATACTTCTCTGGATCGATGCTCACCATGGCAGGCAAAGAAGATGCTGTGGCAGCACAGCAGAAATCGGCAATAGTTACAGTATCGCCAGTCAAATATGGACTGTCACTCAGAAAGTTTTCCAGATGACCGTAAGCATCGATAATATTGTCAATCTTCTCCTGGGGCACTGTCGTTACCTTCTTATGGAAGTATGGCGCACATATGTTCCTCAAAGACATGAAGAGAACACTGGCGTCAAAATACAAACGCTGTTCCAGCTTAGCTCTCTTCACTAGATCTTTTGGATAGAGATCGTCCGATTGTCCATACTTGTCCACCAGATAACAACAGATAGCATGAGAGTCCCATATTAAGGTACCGTTGTCATCCAAGAGGGGCACCGTATGCTGTGGATTCTTCTGCAAAAATTCCTCAGTTTTATGCTCGCCACTCAATAGATCAACTATTTTATATTGAAAGGACAATTCGAGCGCACGCAGGGTCAGAAGACAGGCGCGCACTGGGGGACTTATGTCCATGCCGTAGAGCACCAATGTCGACATGCTTAAATTCCACTCTGAGCACAGACAAGAGAGCAACCAACTGTTTAATCGGGGCGTAGCCGGCAACTGCATAGAGCTGTTCGATTTCTATGGCTTCATATATACAGCTCGAGCTTTTTATAGAGCTGAGCCTGAGCCGGCCATACATTCTAAGTAAAAAGCTCATTCTATAAACAGATTGATATAAACAGAATCGTGCTCGGTGCTCAAGTTTCTTTAATTCGAAGCCCAGCTGCAAAACCTCATTTAATAAACTTTTTCAGTATCATGTACCTTAGTATAAACAATTGTATAGTTTCGCTTCCCTAAACATTTTCGTTACAATTTGTGACACCTGTTATCTGTTGATGTAATTCTCAAACAAACGATATAGATAAGCCAATCAAGCAAAGCAGGCAGAACAAATATTATCTTAATATGCGTTATCATTGTTGATTACATACTTATATATAAGACAAGCAGACATTGAGTATTTATTATCAAAACCATTTATTAGTTTATGCAAAATAATCTTCAATCACGATTGGCTTATTTACATGCATTTAAAAATGAATAGTTGCGCGCCTTACATGGCCAGTGTTGCTAAATGCTAAATTAGCAGTACTGCATAATGTCACCAACTAGCACACACCTGCAAGCAGCAAAACAGTTAGAAGCAGAGATGTGGCGGTGAAATACCCTGTAGTAAGTGAAGCCAGCATAGCTGTCATATAAATATTTAATATACTTTTTAAGCGTATTCTACCATTACACAATTGTAAAATAATTAAAGTAAAAGAATTCTGTTATTGGCAAAGAAACTCACATTAAAGTTGCTTACACTTGGCCAGATTACCAAATTGCCATTGAATCAATATACCCCACAGCACAATGTTGACAGGGCACAACAACATACAGTCTTTGTGCAACGCATTTCCTTACTATCAACGAATTAAAACAGAAAATTAAACATTTTCCATGCCAAACACTAAATAATTGCACAACCACCGCAACCATCGGACGCTCAAGGAGCCGCAACGTTTCGTGGCTGGACAGAAAGACGAAATGACGGCACGGAATCCCCAAACACTCATGGCACTGCCCAACGAAGAGAATTTCGACTTCCTATTCAAAATTGTGCTCATCGGAGACTGTTGCACGGGCAAGACATCAATACTGCAGCGCTTCAAGACGGGCAACTATGTGGAGCGGCACGGGAACACCATTGGCGTTGACTTCTCAATGAAGACCATTGAAGTCGAGGGCAAGCAAGTCAAGGTGAGACATCTGCGCAAATGCCAATGCCATATGAGCTATAATGATGCTGTCTGTGTTCTGGTATACCCTCAAATTAGCTACAAATCTGGGATACCGCTGGACAGGAGCGATTTCGCACCATTACTCAGAGCTATTACCGTGCGAATAATGGTGTCATAATTGGTGAGTAAATGACAAAAAATGCAGGTTGGAGAAGCTGATAGACTCGAAGATACCCTAGAATACTAAATGAGTCAACAAATGTGATGAGTTGAGGTCAACTACGAAAGAGCAGGATTCAGTAGTATATATATTATACCCTCTCTCTGCCACCTGTTATGTAAAACATAATACCCCTCTGTAGTCTGACTAACAAACACTAGGTAGCTAATGCCTCGGCAACTCTTATCATGACCTATTGATCCTATTGTCATGGCCCGTTCGCTGATAAGCGAAAGGCCGCGCACATTTTCAATTACAATCGAATGCGCTGTGATTTTAATAGCATTCGCTTTGCCCCCTTATCAGCTGTGGAGAATGGTTGTTAAACACTTCTTTTTATGACAGTTTACGACATAACGAAACGTGCGACATTTGCCAATCTGCAAAAGTGGATCGAGGAGGTGCGCCGCTATACAGCCTCCAATGTGCTGATCATATTGATTGGCAACAAGTGCGACCTGGAGTCCGAGCGCGAGGTGGACTTTGAGGAGGCGCGCCAAATGTGTCAGTATATACCTGAAATCCTATTCGTGATGGAAACGTCCGCCAAGGAGAACACAAACGTCGAAGATGCCTTTCGCTGTCTGGCCACGGAACTGAAGGTGGGTGTGATTGACATCAATAAAAATGCAGTGTGATTGACTTCTGCTTATGCATTCGCAGCGGCAACACGATTCGAGCAACGTCCAGTCCTTGGATGAGAACACCGTGCAGCTGGGCCAGAGCAAACCGCTGAAGAGCTGCAGCAGCTCCTGCAATCTCACATAGACAACTCCATTTACTTATGATTTGGATTTTGATTTTATTTTTGTGATCAAATGTTCATGTGGCTATAATTTTTAGTATTTATACATTATATTTTACTTTGTTAATGTTTTGCATGTCTTCTACTCGCTGAGACGAGTAACTAATTTATTCATTTAACATACATATCTATGTTCATATATACTTGTATTTATTTTGGTGGCTAGAGTACAAAACAATCTCACACATCACATTACACAAACGACAACAACAACAACAAGAATAACAACGTCAACAACGTCAATTAGAATTCACGTTCTCTTCATTAGTTCTTCGATAACAGAGTAAATAAAATACGTCCAATTCTGTATTTAAAAACAAAAAGCAAACAAATTTTCCGAAAATAAAAACTTGTTTATTTTATAAATTTATTGGAAGTTATTTAATTGGCTGCTTAGTTCGTAACATATACATACACATATATAATAATAATATAGATTTAATTTTATTGAGGGGCTTTCTTGACATACATATGTAAGTGTGTGTGAAGCGTCTCTTCGAACAATTCTCTCTCTTTCGACCTTTCGCTTTCGCTTTTTCTTTCGCTTTCTCATTCGTATAATTAGTTATGTCTTTACATTTACAATTAATTATATAAAAATTGATTTATTTGTCTAAATTAATTGTTTAACTATAAGCTAGTTGCGTCTGCATCTGCATCTGTCTGTCGGTCTGTCATTTGTTTTTAATGCGCTGCGCAACCCACTCCAAGCCCTGATACAGTCCCTCGCCCGTTAGCGCACAACACGCCTGGATGTGCCACTGATGTTTCTTGATAGAGGTGAGGTCCAACTGCCTGGAGATTTCCGCCGCTGACATCGATCCCTTCAGATCCTGTTTGTTGGCATAGACGAGCAGGCTGGCTTTACTCAAATCCTCGTGCTGCAGCATCCGATAGAGCTCCTCGCGCGTAACAGCCAAACGTTCGCGATCCGTCGAATCGATCACCATTATCACGAGCTCTGTGTTGGTGTAATATGTGCTCCACGCGGCCCGCAAGCTCTGCTGGCCACCCAAGTCCCAGACCAGGAAGTGTATATTCCGCCAGACTACTTCCTCAACGTTGGAGCCAATCGTGGGACTCGTGTGGACGACTTCGTTCATCAGAAACTGATACAATATTGTTGTCTTGCCCGCATTGTCCAAGCCAACCATTACCAGTTTGTGCTCCTCGTTGCCAAACATACGCCAGAGACGCGACAGTAATAGCCCCATCTCCAAATTATTGTTAGTTTGGGCGCGCGCGGGTGTCTATGTGTGTGTGTGTCCCTGCCTATGTGTGGAAGCGGACGTATTTGTTGTTAATTGGTGACAAAAAAACAACACACAATCGCAGGTATCGCAATCTATGCGCATATATGCATATGTATATATGTATGCCCGTTTCACACTGTATGCGCGTGTGTGAGAGTGCGTCAGTGTGTGCGTAAGCGTGTGGGTCGTCGTTCACGATGCCTTTGTTGTTGCGCAGCGGAAGGCCAACTGTAAATTATGCACTCACTCTCAGCTTGTCTGGTTCACGCACCACACAGCACGCTGCACTTTAGAGTTTCTTGAATTCCTTTTTCTTTATTTTATGGCTGCTTTTAATCACTGGGCCCAAACACTTGTTATTATTATGTTATCACGTCGATTTAGGTAGGCTTTGCTTTAGTTTTTGTGTTGAAACAAAAATTGCTCACGATTTCAGCTAGATATGTGAGCAGCATATCGATATATCGGCGATTCGATGTTGCGATACTTCAAGCGTTACACTTCCGATATCTATTAGCTATCGACACTGTTTATAGCGAACTCTTTTTGTTGGTTTTAAAATTAAACATTGTTAAATTGGATAAATTTGGAAAGCTGACAAAAAATGTAATAAGATTTAAACAATATATTCAAAGCATGCTAGTTCGGGTGATTCAAGTAATATTCGTTTTAATCATGTATCTCTGAAATAAGTTCCTCTTGCCAATATTCAAAATTCATTTCAAACTATACATTCATATTAATAATACATATTAAACATATTTCTACAGCTTTTGACATTTTATGTGTGATTAAACTCCGAGCTGCTTGGAAAATATTTTCAAAAGCAACAAATTATTTTTTGTTTTTGCATTTTTCTGTCTTTAATAAAATGAATGTCCTGGAAACCTTTCTTACGTGTTACCAGTTTCTTACTGATCCCATAACGGACCTCGACCTGGATCTGGAATTCAACGAGAAGCTAGCCGAAAAATGTGAAGTGTTTCTGAAAGGGAAACAGAGGGCCAAGGCACGTTTCGTAAATATAGACAAGTATACAAAAAATGAGATTTGTATGATGGATGAAGTGTTGCCCACACCCAATGTGGATCACGTGATGGAGGTGGTCATCGATGGAGTCATTGCCAAAATGCAGTTTTAGTACAACAAAGGATTCGTATATTTCAAAATTTGCAAAAAATTAATTAAGAGAAATTCAATGTATCAGAATTACAAAAGGGCAAAATGGCCCAAGTAACAATTGCATTAATAAACAATACTTACATTTAAAGACTTAATAAATGTGGCAATAAAGAATAACTAAATATGGCTATATACAATGCATCTAAATATAATAAGGGCATATACTATATATAAGATTTCTAGGATTTCCCACTGGGCTTTTTGGACTTGGGCTTTCGAATATGTCGTTGAGTCTGTTTGCTGGGCGGCGCCAGCTCGTAGCGGAAGATGATGCAGCGCCTGTCAAAGAAGCTCTTGAGATCCTTGGGCTCGTAGCGATGGCCCAGCTGCTTAAAATATAGATAGATCTCCTGCAAGTCGATGGGCTCGTACATCAGCACACTTTCATGCAGGCTGGGATTGGCGCAGAGCAGATTGTGCCAGGCTATGTGCAGAGGCACCAGCGGCTGTGGCGTCTTTTTGCTGACATTCGTCTGCAGTATATAGTACTCGAACTCATCGCAGAGAGCCGGCGGCATAGCCTGGGAGAAGCGCAACAGCTCCGATCCGCAGGCATCTCGAAACTTCAGACTGGGCTGGAAGTCAGCGTCGGTGGGTGTGAGGCACTCAGTGCTGGCTGCTTGGAGCAGTCGGGCGTGGCCAGACTTGCCTCCTTTGCCACTAGTCACGGGTGTAGACTTGGAGCGGGGCAGTGCCACCTGCTGCGGCTCCTCTTCCAGAGGCAACATAATAGGATGAGTCTGGTTGTAGATATATTCCAGCAATTTGACGGCCTGTTTGCGTTTCAGTGGCTTTATGCCATAATTGTACAGCTGCTGCAGTAGCTCCGACTCGGTCATGAGCACAAAATCTGGCTTAGGTGACTGGCAGACGCGCACATTGTACACCTGGCCATTTACCTCCAGTTGATCAGGAGCAGCTGGTGTGGCTGCTTCAGTAGATTGAGCAGACTCGGTTAAGGTCTCTGTGTTGATCTCGCCGAGCAGCAGCCGATCCAGGCCACTAGGCACATCATTGCTGACCTCCTTATCCTCTTTCTGAAACACCAAACGATCGAATTCATCGAAATCGTCTGCTGAATCCGCGACTTCATTGAGCAGCTCCTTAAATTTATTGGTGCTGCTGCTGGAGTGAGGCTTAATGCGCGTCTCCGGAGGCGTGTCCAGAAACGAGGCATCCGTCCAGTCATCAATGGGTGCCTGCATTGCGTCAGCTTCTGGACTCTGCAGCGCGGGGAGGGGAAAGGGCTGAGAGATTGCCGCATCCATGATGCCAAACTCGGCGCGTTCTTTGCTCAATGCGCTCTTATTGGGGGAGCGCGATTTGCTGGACGTCTCTATGCAGCCATCCAAATAGGCATCCAGGTCATCCATAGTCTTGAAGAACGGCACACTTTGAGTCTTTTTTATGGGCGATCTGGAAGGGCTGTCCTCGTCGCTGCTCTCGCTGCTTGACTGCAGATCCGCTGCTTTGTCTGCCTTCCAGATCGAATAGTTGATTTCGTCATCAGAGAGCAGGACTCCACCGTCATCATCATCATCATCCTTATCATTGTCATCATCATCGCCGCTGTCTTGCGTTAAATCAATGCTCGCATTCGAGTGGCTCAGCGGAGTGGTAAATGGCGAGATGGGCTTATCTATAAAGCAGTTGCTCCGACGGCTTAAGGGACTCTTCAAGCTGGCCTCCAGCTGTCCGGGCGATTGCGTCAAGCTGAAGGCAAGCTTTGTGCTCTCCAACTGACTCAAACTGAGTGAGTCTGAGGCAGCAAGCGACGCTGCAGGGGAATTTATTTTCAGAGAATGATCCGTTGATTCAGCATTCAACTGCCTCGATTGGCTCGCATATTTGGCATACACTTCCTCAGCGATTTCACACGGCTCCGGCTGCTCACTCAAGTCGATATCATCATCGAAGTCTATGATGGGACTAGGCGGAAAAATGTGCTGCTCGAAAAGAGATTTACTTGAGTGGGTTTCCATGGCGGCATCCGACGAATCCGACTTCTGTGTTAAATCCACAAAGTTCTCTGTTGAGAAAAGTCAAATGTGAATCCAATTATGGCAATGCAGATGTGCGGAAACAACTTACCTTCCACAGCTTCATGCTCCGCTTCAACATCTTTCACAGTCTTCACTGAAACAGAGGCGATTTCATTACAAGTTCTTCTCCATCCAATTCTCTGTCCTTACCTTCGTCACTGGAATAGACTTCGTAGCTGTTCATGTCTGTGGTGCTCATATTCCTATAGACCTTTATTGAAAAGTTTTGCATCTCGCTAGCTACGCTGCCTGTGGCCGCTCCCTCCTCCTCCTCATCATCCGAGTCCGCAAAGAGATCGGGTGAAGTGCAGCGCGTGCTCTGCGTGGGCAAAGTGAGCTGAGCTGATGAGCAGCTGGGCTGCGTGTTCTCCTTATCATTACTTGGCTCATCAAATTGTGTCGTCATTCTGGCTCGCTTATCCGGCGGCTCCTTTACGGGACTCGCAGCGCTTAATGTGATTCGCACTTGCTCCTCAGCCTTTCCGCTCTGCTCCTGCATTTCGTCTTTAATGACTTCCTCAGCTTTTAAGGTCTCATCCTGCTCAGTGGGCTCAGCTAACGCCTGACTAGTATCCTGTATCATATTGTCCACCACCAGTTTTTCCAGGGCATCCAATTCTCGCTGCTCGGCAGCAGCACTAAAATGCGCCTCGAGCTCCTTGTAGACCTGCTCCAATTGTTGCCTTCTGCGCAGGGCCGTGGCGCTTTCGCGCTTCGGCGATAAATCCCGGCCAGGTATGGTCTCCCAGCTCTTTAGCAAATGATGCGCAGGTGTACGACTGACTTCCACTAGGTCCTGTACATAGTATGCAGACAGATCTGTGAGAGGCTCCTCACTTGGCTCGTGGATGATGCGTTGCTCTGCTTTGACTTGCAAATGCTGCAGTTGCTTGCTGATCAGCTCGAATGGCAATTGAAGCTCTGGGCTCGGCAGCTTTGTGCGCACCTGTTGCTTCATTAGCGCATCCACCTTGGCCTGCAGCTTCTTCAACTGCTCCTCCGGATTGCGTAAAGTAAGAGGCGTAAATTTGTTTGCCCATTTGCAGCGTTTGCCACGCTTGGGCATGGCAGCAAAGGTGAGCACATTGTATTCTATAGTAGAATAGTAAATGGACAGATTATTGAAGCATTTCTAGTGGTTTCATTGACTCACCCTCCTTGGCAGCTGTGCGGAAGCCATATTTTTGCAGCTTGCGCCTTATATTGTCCGTTGACTGGTTCGCTGCATCTTCAATAAGATTAACCACTTCCTCTCGCTCGTCCTCTGTGTCTTGTAGTCGAAGTCTTCCATGCTTCTCTGCCTCCGATTTGGACAAGGCCAGCGCCATTTCAATGTCATCGGGACTAAAGTTGTCGGCGATACAATGCTGTGCCGTCACCTCCGAGAAGAGCTGTTCGTTGCGCAGGAAGTCGCTTATGGTGGGCTGCTTATTCCGTCCGCCTCCGCGAGCTCTTTTCTGAGTTGTCGCACTTTTCAGCTTGGGCGCCTTCTTGGGCTTGGGCACAGCAGCGGGCGCATCCTGACGGCTGGCACGCGTCTTCTTCCTACTGGGCTCGGCAAAGAGTTGCTCCTGCTCCCCGGACTGAGCTGCTGCAGCATTGCTCGAACTCTCAGCTTGATCGAAATACTCGGACAGAGTCAGGGGCACGCTGCTTGCTTTCCTGGAGCTTAAAGTAGTAAAGGAAACAATAAGTATAACGAGTATAACTACAACATTTTATTAGTAAACTGAAGCACAACTAATAAAAGTTTCATTGGCCGACCTACCGCTGCTTGGAGTTCGCGGTTTGGAGTTTTTGAAAGTTTGCTCGTCGAGTTTCTCTGTCCATTTTATATTTTTGATACTTATTTTTATTATCTTGTTAACGTTCCGTGCGTAAATTCTCGGCCTCCTCGATGGCCTCTCGGATGAACTGACTAGGACGCGGCGCACCAAAGTCGAACAAGGCCTTACGCTCCTTCTCCACGTCGGTGGGTGTGAGTACCTTGAACAGCCTATCGTTGGTTATGCGCTGCATGGGAGTCAGACTGGAAAATAGGTTGCAAGTAGATCAACAATGCAGCACAGTGCGCTCTAGTCATCTACTTACTTCCAGAGCCCGAAAAGCAATGTGCCGGCTGCCAGAAACGCGTAGGCAAAACGATTGCGATAATGGTAGGATGGTGTTCCTTGTGTGCGTCGGGGCTTGCGCTTGCTAGTATCTATAGATGCCATTACCGTGGTGCCGAGCTGTGTCTTCGTAGCGTGTTGATATAATTATATAATTAAATACATTTTATGCGCGCAACAATACAGCGCCTAAACAACATGCAAATGATGAAACTCCTACACTGGCCAGGGCTGCACAACAAATGAACTTGGTGTCACAAGCTAAATACAAAGGTATAGATTCCGAAGCTGACAATTGCTACACATACTATTAATTGTATTATATTAATAATCAAATTAATAATTTTATATATTATGCTTGGAGAACTAACGAGTTTTATTTAACAACATCTGTTTATTTATGAATTTTTTTGTGTAGCCCTGGCTCAAAACTACTCGGTAACTGTAACGATTACATTCACTACCTAAATAATTAACGTTAATTAGCGCACAGCGTAGGAGAGAATTGAAAATCAAGTTTAGTTTTATTTGAACGCTAATAACGTTCAGGTGCATAACATCCAATGATTCTCGGGTAAAGTGCGCCGTGTGTAGTTATAAAGCATAGAATCAATCAATGTAAGTGCAGCAGTAAATTAGTGATAAGAGAATGTAACAAGAACTAAAGCGTAAACTACTACGCAGACAAAAATCAGCATCCAAACTACAGACAAAGAAAAGAGTACAGAGTACAGCGAAAACAACATAAGCGAATGCGATAACAATGTGAAACAGACAAAGCAAAAGAGTTGAAAAATACAAGCACACACACAAATGCAACTGAAATTGTCTGCTTGTGTATGTGGGTGCGTGTGTATGGGTGTGTGTTAGAGAGTGTAACCAGATACAACGGCATTTTTATACACTGCCAAAAGAGAATAGTGCTGAATATGAAATGAAATGAATCCGATATATAATCATTGTTAATGGCGCATTTTATAAATTAAAATCAAATAAATAATAATAATAAATTATTACTAAAATAAATAGCTTATATTAAAATAATTGAATATGTCTGTTAGGGTATTTGGCCTTCGATCATAGAAAATTTTTCTGTTTTCTTTTGCAGAAATCAGCGAATAACGAAAACAAATTTCGATATCATATATTTTGTTTTTGTTGAGCAAAAAAACGCCCTTTTCTGCTAGCAAGAGTCGGATAATTTTGTATTCATTCAGTGGAGTTTTGTCCAGCGGCCCGCTTAGTCATGGCTCGAGAAGACGAGGAATGCATCGTGGACAGGAGACCGCGTGAGGAGGGGGAGGACACACCGAGCACGAATGGCGGACGCCAGGATAATGAATTGGCTCTGCCCTCGGGCGGCTGCTGCATGCCAACGAGCACCTGCCATCGCTTCCAGGCGCTCGTCTTCATGTGCCTGCTCGGCTTCGGCTCGTACTTCTGCTACGATAATCCGGGCGCCCTGCAGTCGGTGTTCAAGTCGCAGCTGGATCTGAGTGCGACACAGTTTACGCTCATCTACTCGATCTACTCGTGGCCCAATGTCGTGCTCTGCTTCTTGGGAGGATTCCTGATCGATCGTCTGTTCGGCATTCGGCTGGGCACGATAATCTACATGCTCATCCTGCTGGTGGGTCAACTGATCTTTGCCAGCGGAGCGCTGCTCGACACCTTTTGGCTGATGATCCTCGGCCGCTTCATCTTCGGCATCGGCGCCGAGTCGCTGGCCGTCGCCCAGAACAGCTATGCGGTGCTCTGGTTCAAGGGAAAGGAGCTGAACATGGTGTTCGGCCTGCAGCTCTCGGTTGCGCGCTTTGGCAGCACCGTCAACTTCTGGGTCATGCAGCCGATCTACAACTACGTGAGCGAGTTCTATCACGGATATCGCGCCCTTGGCGTCGTCCTGCTGCTGGCCACGCTCACCTGTGTGATGTCCCTGATCTGTGCCCTCGTGCTCGGCTGGATGGACAAGCGGGCGGAGCGGATTATGCAGCGCAACAACAACCCCTCCGGCGAAATACCCAAGCTCACGGACATCTTCACATTCAAGGCGCCCTACTGGATGGTCTCGATCATCTGTGTCGCCTACTACGTGGCCATCTTTCCGTTCATTGCTCTCGGCCAGAAGTTCTTCGTGGATCGCTTTGGCTACACGGAGGCGCAGGCCAACACCGTCGACTCGCTGGTCTACCTGATTGCTGCAGTCTCCTCGCCGATCTTCGGCTTCATCATCGACAAGTTGGGTCGCAATGTCACCTGGGTGATGGCGGCCACGATAACCACAATTGGGGCACATGCGCTGCTCACCTTTACCCAAGTGACGCCCTACGTGGGCATGATTATTATGGGCCTATCGTACTCCATGCTGGCTGCCAGCCTCTGGCCCCTGGTGGCCCTCATCATACCCGAATATCAGCTGGGCACCGCGTACGGCTTCTGTCAGTCCGTGCAGAATCTCGGCCTGGCTGTCATCACCATCGTGGCCGGCATCATAGCCGACCAGAGCGGCAACGACCACACCTGGGTGCAGCTCTTCTTCATGGGCTGGCTGACGATTGCCCTAATCGCCACCAGCGTCATCTGGGGCTACGACAGGAGGCATCGCGGCAATCTCAACATGAGTCCGGCCCAACGCGCGACGTATGTCAATCCGGTCAACTATCAGAACTTTGAGTAAGGGACTACCATGAGCCAGCATCGTGTGTACGATAATTCTGCTCTATTATGAAATTCTATAATTCTATAATTAGGGGCCCCGAAATGCGGGTCCGGAAACATTTTAACGAACTATGTGAAAAGACGGGTCTACGATTGATCTTTGATAATGTGATGAGCGAACAATGTATCGCTAGGTATATACTGAATTGGAATTGTTTGTCTAAAAGTACACACACACACACACAGATATACAGATTATATATATATTAATGAATTACATTTATGTATTTTTATAGCAATTTATTATTAATACAATTACTGCATGTTTATGTCTTGTGTACATGTTTTACAAAATTTTAAATAAATCAAATCTCTGTTTAAGTGCAAATGTTTAATAATAAATCATTGATATTCCATTAAATGTCGTTTGAATTCAATAAGCTTTACACTCCCATATTGTATGGCAATAAAGATATATGTATGTATATGTGTTGATCAAGATCTAGCTAAATCGCTTGTTGTTTTTTCTTGCATCGACTGACTTACTGGGAAATGTTGGATCATATTGGAGTACATACTATATAGGGGTGTTTGGGAAGGTTTACGAGGAAATTTGTATGTACAGAAGTGTGTCTGTTCACCCAAAGTCCACATTAGTCATTCGCATGCTAGATGATAAAGCTCATTCGACTGATTGTTTCTATTAGAAATGTGAGTTATAACAGACGTATAGACATACTATAGACTATAGTATCTATAGCTAGTATAGTCAAGATTGCAATTGTTGAATCAGGTCAGCACAGCTTGAATAATAAAGTTTTCCATCAACTTTCCAGCGTTGACCGATAATGCCTATATAAGAAACTAAGTGAAGACTATAAATTTAAGATAAATATATTACTGATAGCTAGGCTATAGAACTACACTACTTCCTAGTTTGATTGAAGCGTATTGGGAGACTAAAGAGGGATTGTGATTGAGAGTCTATAATGTATATTGAGAGATTGAGATTAAAGAGTAGATAATCTAATCTCTCTCAAGGCGAACATTCGACGAATCTGCTTCGAATCGAAGTTTCTCATTTTAAAACCTTTAACTTTTACAGCTTATAATGCGCTCTACTATTTCTATAGCCAACTGACAAACATTGGGATTCGTAGCTTTATCAATTCTTTTAGCAAACAAATTAAAAACTTTTTCATAGAGAAATTTGGAATGCTCTGCAGTTGTAAGGCGCTTTTATGCCAGTGCTAACAGTGCTAATTCAATATGTAATTGCCATTTTTGTGAGTCAACCCACATTTTAGGCACTGCCCGAATCGATCAGAATGTTTTGCATTTCGTTAAAGTTCCACGTTTGCTTTATTCAAAACATTTTAATGTCTGTCCGTCGCTCGAGCACCTCGATGCACTGTTTGCTGTCCAGGCCGAGCACGCGTAGCTCATGCAGCGGCTTCGTCTTCTCCTCCGCCGTCTGCCCGCCGCGCAGAGTCTCGAGCAGCAGCAGGGCTGTGCCCCTCGCCGCTGTCAGCAATTTGCAAGCGTCATGAATGCTGAAATACAAGCATATAATGAGTTTAGTAAATATGATATTTGAAGCGGCCTGTCGTGACTCACCGCTTGAAGAGCAGCTCGGGTCGTCGTGTGTACTGGCCGAAGAGCGCGAAGAGCAGCGTCATGTCGTAGTTGAACTGGGCAGCACCTGCCGTGGAGAACCTCGTATTTAATACCATGTTCTCCAGAATGAAGTCGTCGATCTGCTGGGCCATCAGACGCAGCGTCTGGTTGAACAAATTGGTGGACAGCTCGCGCTCCAGGTTGTGCAGGAGTGTGACTAGAACCTGGAACATTTCGCCGCCGCTGGGCGAGAGGATGAAGGGCTCGCGGCTGTTCTGCTCGGGCATGCTGGGCCAGCAGTCGTGGCGGTAGTTCATTGACTTCGCCTTCATCTCGTTCACGGCCTTGTTGGCCAGATTCTTCATCAGCTGGCGTGCCCAGTGCTCCAGCTCGGCGACGGGATGCTCGAACACCGAATTGATTTCGCTGGCATTTGGCCCGGCCAGCGCGGCATGCAAGTGCAAATAATGGACATTCTCGCCCCATTCGCGCAGCACCATTATCAGATAGTTGATGGCATTCAGCACGGGCAGGCTGGGCACAGCTCCGCTGCTGTGCAGCTGCACGAGGCGCCGTCGAAAGCTGTCGATCAGCTCCAGCTGCAGCTGCAGGAATTGCAGCTGATGGCCGGGCTGTATGAGCGCATAGTAACGATCCTTGATGGCGTCCAGCAGGCGCATGAACTGATCGGCGCACTTCGGTATCTTCAGATCATCCTCGAAGGTATTGGGATCTATCAGCTGAAACGGCGTCTCCGCCTGCAAGATCTGGTCCATTTTCTCGGCACAAACTGGGAAAGAACAGTATATTAAAATAATTATCCAAATCAGGCTTCAATTCCATTTTACATCGCTCCTCCAGCGATATCCAGCGCAGCAGATACATGGGCTGTGTGAGCACGGAAATGGCGCTGGGAAAGCTGGCCGGATAGCCAAAGGTCTCGCGCAGCTCTGCCTCGAAGGCGAGCGTCTCATCCAGCAGATGCGCAAACAGATTCTCATCCTGCGCGATTTGCTCAATGTCCGCTGCCAGCTTTTCAATGGTCAGCTGCACCAGGCCCCGCATGAATTCTAGCTGGAATATACAGTCAGATTAGTGAGGTGAGTACAAGTGGCTTCGGGATTGAATTTACTCTTAGATTGTAGTCCAATTTGCCCGCCTTCATGGCCGCTGGCTGAAACGTCTTGCCCACAAAGAAATGCGTTTCCTTGCCCCAGTTTAGGATCTGCGTGTAGAACCACTCGGGCTTGTCCAGTCGATTCGTTTGCCGGGTGCCTGTGAAGTGGAACATGAAACGCTGGCGATACGGAGCCAGCAGCAGCTGCACCACCTTACTGATGGGCGGGCACACAATGCTGGACGTGATGCTCAACATGCTCTCATGTTCCTCTGCCGGGGATTTGATTAGGAACATGTATTCGGCAAGCAATTGTGCCTTGGCAGTGTCGCGACTGGGGGAATAGTTGAGCGACTGCTGCTCCAGGTGCGCCCAGCGCATCGCCTTGAGCACAGCCTCAAACTCGCTGGAGAGACGCTGCAGCAGCAGCTTGTGCCAGTAGATAGCAGTGGCTTCAGCGTAGGACTTTAGATAATTGGCCTGTACTGACTGCAGTCGACCCACCACGCTGTGCTCACAGTCGTTGCCCTCGTAGAGCGTCAGGTAGATATTGACCAGCTTAGCCTCGTCCTTGCCATTGATGGCAGCTCCTAGCGCTGCGCTGATCTCTTGTATGTCTTGCACCAGGCGCAGATATTGCGTCACATTCTGCAACTGTCGCACCTGTTGCAGATCCTCTGCCACGCCTTCTAGAGCCGGCTGACATTCCTTAAGCTTCTGCTTCAGTTTCGCACTGAACTGCGAAAGTTTCTCCAACTCGAAGTCGATGCTCTCACAGACCTGCTGCTGGCATTGGAGCGCAGACTTGTAGCTGGACACGTTGAGTGGATCCTCGTAGTTCAGCTGAAAGTCCAAAACAATTATATATGCAATAATATTGTAATTTACACTTACGGTCTGGCTAATCGCTTGTAATCGTTGCTTGGCATCATCGACGAGCAGCGCAGCCCGATGCAGCTGATTGGCATCTTTGCCAATCTTTTCATTGAGGCGCGCTACAATACGCTGTTCCAGTTCACTCAGCTTTCCGTGCATTGTGTGCGGTACATTCAAATAAAAGTATAAAACATATAATTGGGCTATGAACACGTATAAAAATAATTGTTGATGCAGTCACTATTGAACCATGGCTGCAGTTACTAATTTGAATGAGTGAACTAGTTTAAGTAGTTCATGGTGAACTTTATTAGCTCCACCTGTGGCGCCAAACCTGAACTAGCAAAAAGAACGACAATTAAGTGAGCTTGTTCAATCACACTTGTGGCGCCAAATCATGTGTTTAAACGAGTAACAATTATTTAACAAACTCAGTATGTCTGAAGAATTTTGTATTTGTTTCACTTGAAATTAAAGCGCTCAGCATAGAAAATAATTGTTTGTGAAACTTCCTCCCGCATTGTTGACTAATTAGTGAGAGCGGCACAGCTTTGTTTTTTCCACATTCAGCTACATGCTGAACTGCTGTTTCATATTAAACATATTGAGTGCAATTGAAATTGAAATACTATCGTATGAGCTAAATCTACTTGAGTGTTTTTAGTTCAATTGAAAACTATCTGTTGCAGGGCTGTAATTTTTATCGATATACCGATAGGCCGCGTGTTACCATCTGCAGTGAATGGTCTTTTTCAAACACAGCCGCCAGCAGGTGTTGCAGTTAGCGTCGCGTTGCATTAACTTTTTCGTCGGGCTGCGGAAAACTTAAAGTGAAAATGTTTACGCCAAGACAAAAGGTCCACACCCAAGGTGTTGCCAACTCGCCACACACACCGCTCAGTTTTAGTCGTGAGCTACGTCAGGTTTTGCAAGAGCGAAACCTTCTGACGGCCAAGTCGCGTAAGAAAGGTAAGCAAGAAAGGGGCGTGCCCAAGCCGAAGACAAAGGACGCCTTCTAATTAGTGTTGCTATCCCTGATCAGTGTGCTCCATGCTGGACAGCAGCTCCAGCAGTCCCATTGGCTCACCCAATCCGGAGGCAGGCAAACGCATCGGCTTCCGTCTGCAGGCAGTTCAGGAGATTATCACGTCGGAGAAGTCCTACCTAGAGCAGCTGGAGCTGCTCATGAAATACTTTGTGCGTCCGCTCAAGGAGCAGGCCATCATCGATGCCGCCAATCACACGGCACTCTTTGGCCAAATCGAGATGATTCACAATTTGAATGGCGAATTCCTGCGCGAGCTGGAGGCCAACATGGAGAATGTGGCCCATGCGTTTCTCAAGATGGCTCCGTTCTTCAAGCTCTACTCGGTCTATGCATTCGACTACCGAGGTGCATTGTTTATACTGCAAGATTTGATCAGCAAGAACCCAGTTTTTCGTAAATTTCTGGAGGAGAACGAGAGTCGTCCGGAAGTGCAGCGCAAGCTGAATTCACTGATGATTGTGCCCATACAGCGGGTGCCGCGCTACAAGCTGCTGCTGGAGCAGGTGCTGCTCTACACCAGTCCGGCCGACGCGGACTACAAGCTCCTGAAGGGTAAGCTAAGAATTAAACACAATTTCTGGGGAGGATTTCACACATTTCTTTTACAGAATCTGTCAAGGAGATCGAGGCGACGGCCTCGCACATTAACGCCTGCGTGGAGGAGCAGGAGATCACCCAGTATCTGATTCATCTACAGAATTCCCTCGTCAATCGCACGCCCAACATTGTGAAGCCCTCGCGCCGCGTCATTAAGGAGGGCATGCTCTACAAGATCACGCACAAGGGCCAGCCCATCAAGCGCTACTGCGTGCTCATGTCGGACATCTTCATGTACTGCAAGGTGATCAAGGAGCGTGCGCCCAACACCCAGGTGGAGAACTCCCTCGAATGCTGCTGCATCTTTCCACTGAAGAAGTGCAAGGTCTACGAGATGATGCCAGGAAACTTCAAGCTGAGCTGCCAGAGCGACGGCATCATCTTCGGCTGCGACGACCTGCAGGTGTCGCGCACCTGGGTGGGCTTCATACGGGATGCCATTGACTTGCATGTGCAGTGCCGCAAGACCCTGCGCAAGGACTCCAGCAAACGCACGCCCATCCGCAAGAAGGACATGAAGAAATTCGGCGCCGATTATGTACTGAGTCCCAACAAGCGCAAATGCGTGAGTAGCAAGCAGCTCAGCTGTGATCCCTCCTGATTCCTCTTTCTTTGCAGGATTATGAGACTATTTTTCGCAACAAGAACCGCAGCACGGACTCCGATGAGGAAGCCGCCAACGAAACACTAGGCAGTCGCAGCATTTGCTTTCCCCGCAAGCGCAAGTATCCACAGCAGATGCCCCAGACGTCCACGTCCACTTTAAGCGTCAGTGTCAAGCGTCCGGCGCCACCGCCGCCCACCGTGGAGCTGCGGCGCAAGGAGGAGCCGCTGTCCGCCAGCAAGGAGAACCGTATCTCCAAGCTGTACAAAATGATTGTCCCCGGCGACAAGGCAAACAATCTGCGTGGCATCCTGAAGCGCAGCAAACCGACCAACAACCCGCCGCTTGATGCGGATCCCAGTTACGGCTTCGCCAGTCGCTACTCCGATTCCAAGTCATACTTCCGAGCGCACAACGTGGACAACACCATACCCACGGCCATCAAGCGCGAGGATCTGTTCGATGTGGACCTTGGCAATGGAAACTTTCGGGATGTGCTCTTTCCACTGCGCTCCAGTGGAGGCAGCCAAAAAAGTGGCGGAGTCGGAGGCGGAGGTGGAGGTGGAGGCGGCGCCGGTTGGACCACACCTGAGCAGACTCTAAGATCAGCCGAGGAGGACGCCTTGTACGCAGTTCCACAGAAGAAGCGAGTCAAGTTTGATGATGCGCTAGATGCGTATGAGCAGAAGCCATTCGTGTTCCCCAGCAGTGGAAGCAATGCGGAGGCTATCAAAGCACCATCGCTACGCGAGCGTATTTATGACTTTTTTGCCAATCTCTTCTAGAATAAGAATATATTGTAATTTATCGCACCACTCATTCACATCCACAATAAAAGCATTTACTACATCAGCAGGCGCCTCGCAGCTCTCTAACTCGGCTCATGAATCCCTCCACGGCCCGCTCGTCGATCTCCTGCTGCCAGTCGCCGTCGCGCTTGAAGTGGGAGCCAATGATGGCAGCTTGGGCATCTGGGAAATATTGACTTATGTTGTCCTTGGTTACGCCCGAGCCTATTATGAGGGGCACTTTTAGCTGGCCGGCTAGCTCCTGGACATCTTTGGGACTAGCCGCCTGACCCGTTGCCGTGCCCGTGACAATGATTCCGTCCGTGAGAAAGAATTCCGCCGCATGAGCCGTTTCCAGCAGGCTGACGTCTGCTGTTATGGCATGCGAGCTGTGCTTCTTCTTCAGATCCGTAAAGATTAGGACATCGTCCGCATCGATTTGTCTGCGATAGCGCAGCAGCTGGCCGGCGCAGGCGTCCGTGTAGCCCTCATCGGCCACGTGGCCAAAGACAAAGCCTTCGGCGCGTATGAACTGCAGCTGGCAGGCCTTGGCTATGGCCAGCGAGTGCTTGTTGCCACAGGCTAGCACCTGCACGCCGCAGGGCGTCTGCTTGGGCAGAATCTCGCGCACGGCCAGCGACAGTCGCGTCATGCACGAAACTATCTCAGCGCCAAGGTGACGATCCTGCACGTAGGGTATATCGTGCATATTCTCGATGAGCACTGCATCCTGCACGTATTACACACTAGATTACATTCTTGCATATATAATATCATTCTTGGACTACCATTTGATGTCTCCGGTACAGCTCCGCCTCGTGTTTGGCCTTCTCAATAGTCTGATTCCAGTTGCCGGCATAGCGAGGGGTGCCTTCATTTGAATATTTGTTGTATTAAAATCGTTGCTCTAAAAGCTTTCTCATTTTGCATTTACCTGGCAACGCATCCACATGTATCATGCCAATTATTTTGCATTTTTCTTTACCAAAAACGCTAACAAATCGTCGCATTATCAGATTAAAACAATATGCTTCTAAAATATGTATATAAACAACAATAGAGATGAGCAAAGTCGCATCAGCTGTTCTTACCACATTTCCCAGCACTAATTTGCTGCCACTTGTTGAGTCAGGGTTGCCAGCTGTTGAGGCAGCAGGCTAAATAGGCAAACATTTTAAATATTTCCATTAAGTACTTAATTCTCAGCTGAACGATCACTGAATATTATTTTTCACTTCACTTCACTTCACTTTACTGCACGACTGACTCCCACCGGGCCTGAGCTACTGAAGAAAAATGAGCTGGTGTTGCCCATTATATAGGGCAATTCTCACTTACACAAAGAGTCGCGCTCAGCCGATGAGCCCGACGTCAGGTAGAGATCGTTGCAGTCGACCTTTAGGGCACCAATGGCAGCTCTCTCGGTACACTCTCGCTGCTTCGGGCATTGTAGCTTCGTTTTATTCATATGTAAATACCGAGGAGTACGTCTGCACACACACAGACAACTTAAGTGATCTTCCGTTGCTCTTCTTCGTTGCTTGCTTTTAGGCTTGCTCTAGACTGAGGGACAAATATACCGACAAACATACGAACTTTTATACATACATATAGATGTATATTTGTATATTTTTCACACTTTTAGTATTACAAATTATGTATTCATTTAAATTTGTATAACATTTATTTATAATGATCTGGTATCCATCACCAAATGATTAATTGCATTAGAATAAATTAATTTGCCAAGTGGCAACCATATCATTGTGCAGTGATGCCCGCTCGTTAGCAGAGATCAGTCAGCCGCGGCCATTTTTATAGTGAGCACCTTTTTTTTTTCTGTGCCAGTGCAGTTTAACAATTTAAAAGTCGGCAACGGATTTTAAATCCGCGGTGCATGCACTAATCCCCAACATGTGCGTCACGTAAGTAACTGCGCTTTGTTCTTGTGCTTTTATGTTGTGCTAACACTAAGAAATGCGTCTAATGGCTGTCCATTAAAAAAGGGCGCCGCATGGAACGCCATCACAATTCGCGACGTCCTGCTAAAACAAAAGGCAACGGCTTATCACGGCCACAGGACGTCATGGAAACAACGGTGGCCGGGAAAAGCATTGGCAGCTGTTTGGAAATTGCGAAATGAACAGGCTGCGCGCTTTGTTAGCATTGTGTTAACTACTCTGTGAAAAATCCCTAAAGCGGGTTATGTTGAATTTCGCATAAATGCATGCAAGCTGCAGACAGGTGGCAGCTTTGGTTGATCTGCGTGCTTTGCGTGACAGGTTAGAGGGAGATAGAAAGACACTTTTGCATATCGATACATAACGATGTTTGCTGATCCTTGAAATACATCGATATGTATTCTGAATTATCGATTCGGTATGCTTAAAATACATTTTTGGTATTATATTTGAAGTCACCTTTTATAGGGTATGCAATTAGTTAGTCACGCCTAATGCTCAGTTGTTGTTATGCGTCCCTTGTTACATTGTCTGAAATTGTGGCGCGTATTGTCCTTGAGTTTGATTTGCTTTTGTGCCAGATCGGGGGAGCTTGCCTCGCCGGCTAACTGGGCGGCTGCCTGGGTTTTGGTTTTAGGTTTGGCGTTGGTGTTGGCCGTGCCTATGGCTGATTGCCTGTGCTTAGCGGAAACAGCAACGGTACTCGCTGTGCGCAGCGCGCCATTTCAATTACCACGCCCCATCGCGCCTCCAACAAAAAAATAAATAACTATACAGCATCCCATTTGGGCACGGTATTCGCAATAGCATCCGGCATTTCCATTTGTTTGCTCTGCTCTCGCATTGTTTTTGTTTACTGCGCCCACGTATGTTTTGTGCATGTTAACAATTGGGCTTTGTTTTGTTTTACAATACGTAAAAGTGCTTATGGCCTTTGTGCTGCCTCTCTGATTGAAGCACTGCTGCGGGTCCTTTCATGCGAGCGGCAAAAACAACGATTTATTATTTGCAAAATGCACAAGCAATTAAACGAATTTAATTGAATTATGAATTGCCGATTGGATTGCGGCCTGCGAGTGAGTGGACCAAAGGCTAATGTATCGAAGGCTAGGCAAATATTTGCTTTTATATTAGGTTAACTTGTCTGGACAAAACTCTAGTTTTCAATGCTTAAAGTTGAAATTGAAATTCTCTAGTGAACTTTTAGTTATTTTTCAAGGATTGTGAGAGCAGCATGCGAAACGAAATGAATTTTTGTACACCTGCTCAGCAAACAACATAAATTATTTATAACGTGTGCTGAGCGCTACACTCGACACCTCAGCCTTGCTTTTGTTGCACACACACACGCACACACACACACATACACATACACATGTGTGCATGCTTAGTTGTTGTAGTTGCAACAAGTTGTTTCCGTTGCTTGCTTTTGCGATTATGCAAGACACACACTTACACACGCTTAAGCACACACACACACACACACACACACACACACATACAGATTGCGTATAACGCAATTATGTGCATTGAAAGGCAAACAGCATAGACAGGATATCCTTTGTGCAAGCAACAGTTACTCCAAGTTCCGCTTTCCAAGCATTTTCCACTTAGTTGGCAATTTTTTTCTTTTTTGTATGCCAGCTAATTAGCTGCCCATAACTTTGGCCAACATAATCAGCAGCACAAACAAGTTTTTACACTGCTACAAATTGTTTACGATATAAAACGAAAGCAGAGAGACAATCTAAGGACATTATCTCTCTCAATCAAGCATTGCACAAAACCAATATACTCTACTCACTGCCTGAGCGAGTATTTGTGTTTATAAAGCAAATAGATGGGAGCTGAATGAGTTTAAAGGCTTAGCAGCTGTGAGCTGTTCGTTAATAGAGTGTTTGCTGTATTTGCATAGGCAGGCAATATACCTTCACACACACACACACACACACACATGTACACATATTTATGTTTGTAAATATTTGGCATATAATCACTTTGGCTCTTAGCCTACTGAATAATTCTGCGCCCTAACTTTCTGGCTAATTGAAAAGTTATCAAGCTGGCAGCTGTCAGCTGCAGCCTTGACTCCCCGAGCACAGAGGTCAATCTGCAACGTGCCTCTCTCTCACTCCCTCTCACTCTCTCTCTCACTCCCTCTCTCTCACTCTCGCTTTTGCTGCCTCATTAAATCAAATGTTCACACTTTGAGCATTTCTTTTTTTTTGTATTAATTGGATTTCGCTCGATTTTGCCACATGGCGACATTGATTTCAATTTAATATATTACTCATGCGCCGCGTTGAACGCGTGATAAATTTACCATTTTATTTGGCATTTTTCGAGCACTCGCAACGTTTTTTTTTTTTATTTGTATTCCGCGAATGCAATTAGTCAATAAATTTCAATGAAAATTACCAATGGCCATGCAAATGGCATAAACTGGTTGACAAAATGGATTCGCGTGCTGCTCTATCTCTGACCATAATTTCTGGCTGCCAAACTACGGCGCATCGATCATCGTTCACTCTCTGTATGTGTGTGTGTGTGTGTGTGTGTGTGTAATAGACCTGCACGCAAAGCCCATAACACGGAATTTCAAATTGGAAAATGGAAAAACGTTGCAAGCATGCCTAGCCAGCCCAGGTGAGCTGACAGTTGGCCAGCTGAGTGAATGCCTCGACGAAAGACCGCATACACATGCAATTTGATTAGCTGTAAACATGGGCGCTAATCGAACTGCCCTTTCAGGTGAAAGCTCTGTTGCTTGATTATAGATAAGCAAGAGTTGTATACACATATATACATGAATATATATACAACATGTATATATATAGGTAAATTATTTGTTTTGCAGCTGAAGCTTTTTTTGGCTTTAGAAACTTTTTGGCTTAATGCTTGTAATACGTCTGGTTGTGGCAGCTCTGAAGTGAACCCATCTTGAATCAACTGACAGCTGTGAATTTCACACTTTGTCGATTATTTTGTACCATTTGCATACCCTGTACTTACAGCATGTGGGTATGCTGAACGAGAGTGTACTTGGAATTATTACAGCTGCAGTGAATCTCACTTGAATCAAAGGATAACTGGGAATATTATACTT